GGGTAGAAAAGGTAATGGATTTACCCTAAACCCCAAACCCACAAAGAGGAGGGGGGGGGGGGGGGGGGGGGGGGGGGGGGGGGGGGGGGGGGGGTGGGGGGGGGGGGGGGGGTGTGGGGTGGAAGAATGGCTTCCAATTGCTTAAAAGAAAAGCCATTGGTTTAGAGTTTAGAATGAGCTAAAATAACAAGTAATTTACTTTATATTGACTTTCAGTTTGAATAAAATTATCTTCAGGAAATTTCACATCAAAACGAATAATTACATTACCATAGGTATGTGTATTTCTGTTCGGCATTCCATAACCTTTTAGAGAACGATAACTGTTAGGTACAATGGGTTTGCCAGGAGGATGATTGATTAAAATGTTATGTCCATCCAATAGTGTTATCGTACGTTGAAATCCACACAATGATTCAGTAAGATTGATTTGCATAGTCATTATCAAATCATCTCCCTTTCGATCGAAAGTTGCATGTGGTTGTTGTTCTAGAATAACATATACTGTGCCGGCTTCACCATTTGGCTGACAAAAACAAACATGAAAGAGGCATGATATCAACGAAATAGATACGATTTAAAACAAGTTACAATTTGATTTCCTTGGCCACTTAATTTGATCGTTTCTCTATGTTGACTTCCATGTGCAATATGTATATCTAAGCTTTTCTCCTGTTGAATTACTTTATTACCATCACAAGTTCTGCAACGATCTATCAAATCCATGACATAACCTTCACCATTACACGTTGAACATTTTTCCTGTATTTGTTGAGTCATTGGACCCACACGATGAATTACTCTGTCAATTCCTGTTCCTCGACAATTGTTACATTCGTATGGAATCCCATCGTGACAACCGATTCTATGAATAGAAGTCAAAGGTAATAATAATAATAATCATAATATATGACTACAAACATAAATTTGCACATACCCATTACATTCGACACAAACAAAGTCACAATCGATGAATATCGTTCGTGTACTTCCCGAATACAATTCTTCTAGCGAAACTCTGAAAAGACAATCTTATTTAGAGATAAAGAAAATTCAAATATTTTTTCTACCTTAGCACATGTTTTATATCTTTGCCTTTATTTACTGTTGATCGCCCTTGACTACTATTTCCATGTTCAAATAGGTTGAATAAATCAAAAACTGAAAATAGACAATTAAACCCATTTAGAAATCAAATTGTTGCTTTTCCAACAACTTACTACTTCCTGAAAATCCTGGGAAATTAAAGTTTTCGTTATTCATCGCCGTTTTCATTCCTTCCAATCCATATCGATCGTACATTTCTCGTGTTTTTGGATCCATCAAAACTTCTCTCGCTGCATTGACTTGTTGCATCTAAATTGGTAACAAAGAATAAATTCAGATTGATATTAAAACGTTATTAAATTCACCTTGTCATGACTTCCACCACGATCTGGATGATGTTCCAATGATTTTTTCTTCACAGCCTAATAAATATAAATGAAATCAGATCGATAAATAAGTTTTAAGATCAAAAGAAAAAGCAAAACGATTGCAATAAAAATCAGTTTGAATAGAATTTAATTTTCTTACTTTTGAAATTTGTTCTTGTGTGGAATTTGGTTCGACGCCTAATACATTGTATAGAGTTTTATCGACGACCATTTTCGCTGAAAATAAAGAATATGCAATTCGACGATAGTGATCTTGTTGCTTTCGGTTGAATAAATAGTCAAATGATGATAAAAATGTGAGTTGTTAAGATGTTTTTTTTATGTTGGCTTTTTCCTGCATGACTAACAGATGGTGACGTATGTCATGTGCCAACAGACGACCTTTTTCTCTTTCTCCCCTTCGAAAGAACTGATGTAATTCTATTGTTTCAAAGAAAGAAAGAAAGAATTGATGAGAGTCATCGATCTCCTCAGTTCTTTGAATTTGAGAGTGTGTGAGAATGTGAAAGATCTTTTTCTTCCATTAGACGTACCCTAGAATACTCACACCCACAGTTACCAGTTTCGTTCCAAGTTCTACACACCTCATACAAAAACCAAAAGCTCTTTATATAGTACTGGCCACAGCTATCTCAATCAACTTAATCGATATCAACAAAAAAAAGAAGAATTAAGCGAACAATCTGATCTATTTTCAGTTTGAAAACATTGTCGCTCAATAGAAATTAGGAATCATCTATTGAATAACAAAAAGAAATTTTAAATACACATCAATAACGTTCAATCTGACCTTTGCTTAGATAGATACCAAAATCTATTTGTTTTTTTTTCTAATTGCCATTCTTACATTCACATCCTATTTCTACAACATTTTCTTATGTTGGTGTCGACTAAAATGACTCGATGAATTCTCTAGTTATTTTGGGACAATAAACGTGTCTTGTGATTCTCAAAAATCATTCACAGACCTAGGAAAGTCTGGTCAATTTATGAATGCTATCTTTCCTCGTCTTTTATCCAGAGAATGAATATATTTGGAATTGATATCTTTCAATAGTTACGTTTACATGCGTAGAGAGGTTTGCAAAGCAATCGATGAATGACGCACTTTGTTGACTGCCATCAACAGTGGGTTTTTTCCAACTTACAAAGAACACAACACAAAGTCGACATTTCTTGGATTGGAGGGTGTGGGTGTGGGTGTGTGGGTGTGAGTGTGGGTGTGACTGTCAAACATAAGTACATCCACCCACCCTCCCCCACACCCACACCTACACCCACCCTCATCCACACCCACACCCCACACCCACACCCACACCCCACATCCACACCCACACCCTAAATAGTAGAGAATATACGGATTTTATAGTTTTTGAAAAGCTTTATCAATCAAACATTAGTAAGTGAACAAATGATCAATAAATCTCTGAAGCTTTCATCAATTTCCTTCCGTTTGAAACTTTCGAAAATGCAGCTAGTCGAACCTGTAGTTTT